TAGCATTACAAGCACAATGGGCTGAAGGACTTTGATTCCATAACCCTTTGCAATCGCGCCAGTAATGAAAGGGAATACTGAACCCCCGGCACTCCCCAAAGCGCAAGCAAAGCCGACAGCCGCAACATGGAGAGACTTTGGCAGAAGCTTTGCTTGGGCAATGACTGCTTCGGGATAGAGAGGGCCAAGGAAGAAACCAAGCAAGGTCACCGAAAGGACTAACAAGCGGAGGTCATCAACGACGCAGAATGTAAGATGTAAGAAAATACACCAACCCAAGTAAAGAAGGACTGCCAGGCGCTGACTGTTGAAGAATGGGGTGAGGAAGCCGAGGCACACACGACCAACTGTAAGTCCTCCCCAGTAGCTGAAGCTAACAAAACCTGCAGTAGACAAAGGCATGTTTCGGAGGTCGACTAGGAAGGTGAAAACCCATCCTCCAATAGTCACTTCGGCTCCGACATAGACAAAGAGAAAGAGACTTATTACCCATGTAGATGGTATCCTCAACGACTCCAGGGTGGGGTTCCTTGGTGGTGCGCTGGACGCAAGATTATCCGAGCTATCGGATGACAGAGTTCCGTCTGTACAGGCATCCGGATCTTTAGATCCTGACCCTGTCGAAGACCAGAAGGCTGCCACCGAGGTCAGGAATTCTATTCCTGCTGCAATGGCCATTGCATAGTAAAACTCGTACCACTTCCAATCTCTATCCGTGATGAGGTAGGTTGCTGTTAGCGGCGCCAGAGCTGCTCCTAGACCGTAGAACGCATGCAAGATTCCCATCAATTGGCTGCTGTTGTGCATGGCACCAATCCATGCATTCCAGGAGGCATCCACGATTCCGTTTCCTAGCCCCGATACGATAAATACAGCAATTAGGACCGGATAGGGTGGGTGTGGGGTAGTCGCAAGGTATGAGATTATATGCAACCCTGCCCCGATTAATGCAATGCCGCGCTGTCCAAAACGATCGTGTATCCAATTATTCCCAAGAGCAGCGATCGCGTAACCGATGAACGGGGAGAGGAACACGAGTGAAACAGTTGTATAGTCCGCATCATAATATTTTCCCAACTGGAAGGCCAGTATAAGCAGGGAGTCGACTTTGCATCATCGATACGCGCGGGGGTGAGAATCTATGGGATAAACATACGTAATGAATCATTGCCTATACATGACGGGCGATTAGCACACGGAATATCAAAATGGTTGACTTATGACGTACACCGTATGCGCCATCATTTGCTCCGACGACGATAAAGCTGTAGAAGGTGGCTAAAATGCGCCAAACATTCGTCCGAGGCTCATTCCACTTTTCTGGTTGAAAGTCCGTATTGCGCAAGTCATCTCCAGCAGGAAGACTTTGATCTGATATAACGGTCTGATAATCAATGTAACTTTCAGACCGTGATGATAATAGGGGCGTTGTAGAATCTGTTTCCAGCATTTTCTTCGTTTACCTTCTCCAAAGAGATGATGTAAGTCAAAGAGCTATCGTCGGAATTTTGCTGGCGTCGGGGCCTCTAGAAAGAAGAGAGGATTACAACCGAGCAAATATAAAGGCGAAACAGATTAGGGGACGAACAGGGAAGGAAGGAATACGGAGTAGGAAATAGGCCCGACAGAATTGTGGCATAAAACTCGGCACGTATCAAGCCGTAACCATTGCTTCTTGAGGTCCAACTTTCATCGAATTACTAAGCATGCGGGACTACCGTTAATGTTACCCTAGTCAACGGCTACAGCGGAAGAGTAGGTTGAGAAGAGTGAGTGAGATAGTGGCCTGAAACGGAAGGTCATAACCCTAAAAAATTTTGCATTTCAAATCACCTGCTATCTGACACGGTAGTATTTGGCTATCCAAATTCCACGGATGTCGGTCTACCAGGGCAGGAGGAGGACCATCAATTATGAGGAAATTATTATTACTATGTTCTTGCAGGTACAATAAAGCAAATCCATCCCGAAAGCAGTCACAAACCCAGATAATAAGACAGAAATCAAAGACCTTAGTGATAAGGATGCTGCTGCCTCGAAGCATAGATATCCTCAAAAACACTATGAATAACCTTAACAACTCGACTCACTATCTCGTCAACATCCTGCTTTCCAACAGTGTATGGCGGTGCAAGCAAGAAGTGGTCACCGTTCCACCCATCTACCGCACCAGTAGCTGCAAATAGACAGATGTCGTAGCCCTTTTCTAGTCCCTTAGTCTGTAGACGCTTGCTGAGAGAAAGCTTACTATCAAACGGAGCCTTACTATCCTTGTCTTCCGTGAATTCTACTGCCCAGAAAAGACCTCTCCCTCGAATATCGCCCACATGTGGATGATCTCCGAGATGCAGTTTCAGTTGCATTCCGAGGTACTCACCCATTTCCCGACAGTTGCTGACTAGGTTATACTCCTTGATAATGCGCTGAACCTCAACTGCAGCCGCACAACCAAGTGGGTGCGATTGGTAGGTCTGTCCATGAACGAAGTATCCTCCGCCTTGCTTCAGCCCAGAAACAACACGATCGTTAATAAGGAGGGCAGATATGGTTCCGTATCCCGCTGCGAGACCTTTGCCCACAAGTTGGATGTCAGGCACGACACCGTCCACCTGCCAAGCGTGCATGGCCCCAGTGCGGCCCATGCCGCACATGATCTCATCAAAGACCAGAAGTGCACCGTAGCGGTCGCATACTTCCCGCATGGCCTCTAGGTAGCCAGGTACTGCGGCAACACAACCTAGGGCCTAAATTCCATAGCGGTCAATGTTTGTCACGTCCAGTAAGAGATAGAGAGTCGCGTACTGTTCCGGCCACTGGCTCAAGGAAAAAGGCACAGACCGTGTCAGGTCCCTGTCGCTGGAATTCCTCGTCGAGCTCCTGCTTGAGTCGAGCCACATACATATCCAGATTTTCATTATCTTTGAGAGCATGGTACGGGTCGCATGCCGATACGTGGGTGATATTGGGATGTAAAATCGATTTGAACCGAGCCTTCCTCGGCTTGAAGTCTCCCAAGGACAGAGACCCCAAGGTGCAGCCATGCCAAGAACCGCGTCTTGAGATGAACTTGGTCCGTCGGGTGTCCGGCTTTCCCTCTGCAAAGTACTGGTGGGAAAGCTTCATTGCGGCATCGACGGCCTCCGAACCTATGGAACCCACGTAGTCAGTCCGGCGCCAAAAGAGTTCTTACGCAAGGGATAATGAGGGCGGGCGTTACCAGACCCCAGAATGCAAGCCCGAGACATCCTCCCGCCTGTAGACTCGACAAGCATATCTGCAAGCCGCAAAGCTGGTGCATTAGGAAAGAATCCAGGGTGGGAGTATTCGACTTGATCAAGCTGCGAGATTATCGCTTGCTTCACACGTTCTACACCGTGTCCGATAGCACTGACAGCCGCGCCGCAGGTGGCGTCGAGAATTATCTGCCCATTATCAAGGTGAATGTACATTCCCTTGGCAGACTGAACAGAAGGTACTGTCGGGTCGTGGACGACATTTTTGTAAAGGTAAGCTGGCTCGGGAATGGACCCCATTCTGCTTATAATACCGATAGAACGTTCATTCAAATTTAATAAAAGAGGCTGACCATTTTGACTGCAGTCTCCCATCTTACGGCCTACGCAGTTAAATAGTGTTCTTGTCCCTTCGTGACTGCGAGATGGACAGGTCGTAGGTTGTCTTTCAAACTGACTACCGAACGCGTCCAACATGGGTCAAAAGAAATTTAGTGTTCACTTAGACGACCCGCTGGCCCCATCCAAGGTTGTAGCCTTCACAGTGACATCCGTCTATAAGCTAAACTTATGGTGCCTATCTGGTCCCCGGTGCGATATGTTCATGAGAGTGTCAGCAGGAATGTAACGCTTCATGTCCTCGACACTCTGCGCTGTAGCATGTGGAATACATTTTACTGAAGCCCTCATCTCGGGACAGTATGCTTGCAGGAGTCATCTATCTTGAACTTTAAGGCGATAAGTTCTTACGTTGTACCAAAAGGCTAAACATATGCTTTCGCCTTGTGGAGTGCACAAAAGTGGCTTATCGTCAAACGCTATCCTGTGGTAGATATGGGCTGTCTCCTCGCATCATAAAATGTGTGCAATCCCGCCAGATAGGACGCAGCTTATCTGTCTGTGCGCACCTTTACCGAAAGAAGTACCATATTTGTCACATTTCTACGTTCTGGTGGTACAGTTTATTGGGCATGCAATCGGCCGATTGCATCGAGACAAGGTCACAGCCATGTCACTCGATTATATCAAGCTGACCCACATGACGGATTCAGCGTCTGAAATGGCTAGACCTCATCTATTGTATCTGCCCGTCAAATGGGAAAAGTGTAATTTGGATAAGGAAACAATTGTGGGACTTGATTTGTAGCTAACGGGCATGTCGTACATTCTAAGACCCGCCATGGTCCTGTCACTGCGTTGTGACAAATACCTGGCTAACAGGTGTCAACTGAGCAATGTTTACCCCGTTGCGGGCTTTTGGCAATATGGTTGCAGTGGTAACTATTGCAAGTGATAACCAAGTGCGGTCCAATTAACTTAGTATCGGATTGTGCGCAACAGCCTACGAAGATTGTCACCCTCCCCGGAAACTCTATCTCACATTGCACCATATCCAATGTCGACTCGGAGTCCTCCAAATCTGAAATAGTGAGGACGGTCTAGGCTTAAGCAGCTGGGGGTTGTTGCGTCACCAAGTCGACCGGCTAGCCCCCTTGCGTTTCAAAATGGTTCACGTTCCCTAGCATTTGGAATCTGCTCCAAGCCATATGGAAGTGGAAAAAATAAATGGCAAGTTTGCCTTTCTAGGGATAGTCGACCGTCAGCTTCAATAGAAATATCTGGTTCCCTACGGATGGATCAAATTAAAAAGTCACTCTCTGGATAAATAAATCAAAAATGTACCTCGCCGTTCTCCTAAGTATATGTCAATTCTCACATTCCTTCTGAAGCAGCATAGGACGAAATATGCCCCAAAGTTCCTCACAAATGGAGGGCGGGCACCAGTACTTGAATGGTAGTCCGAAAGCAATTTTCTTCACTGATTTCGACGGAACTGTTACTTTGCAGGACTGTAAGCTATATACTCACCCTTTTACAGCTCCATGTTTCATGTAGCCATTACTAAGAATTTGATTAGGCAATGACTACCTAGTAATAATCTATGCCAACAATTGTTCACAACAACTAACCATCTGTACAGGTTGACAATTTCGGCTTCGGGGCCGAAAGACGCCGGATGCTCGAGCTAGAAGTCCTAAATGGAACTTTGGCATTCAGGTACGTGCTAGCCCGGCGTAGAAATTTCAAGACCTACAATAGTGAGCCGAAAAATGACCCTGCCAGGGATGCTTTTCAGGCCATGCTTGACAGCGTGCGAATGCCCTTCAACGAGTGTCTTCGTATCGTGCAGGAAAATATTCAGCTCGACCCCGGTTTTGTCAACTTCTATCTCTGGGCAAAAGAGAAAAGTATTCCCATTGTGATTCTGTCATCAGGAATGACGCCTGTGATAGAGGCATTACTGGTTTCCTTATTCGCCGGCAAGCCTAGCAATATATTTGTCATTGCAAACAACATCGCGCCTCACAAGGGTAAACATATCAACATGGTTGGTGGATGGCAGATTAAATATCGCGATGATAGGCAAGTGGGCCACTGATGAAAACTGTTCGTCGCGGTGTATTGACGTAGCGAGCATTATAGCATATTTGGCCACGACAAATCGCTAGAAATCAAGCATTGTGTTGCACTGCCTGACGGAGAACGTCCTGTGGTGGCTTTTGCAGGAGATGGAGTCTCAGACCTCTCTGCTGCGTCCGAAACAAACATCTTATTTGCCAAGGAAGGTCTAGGCAAGTATTCTCCTTGACTCCACATCCAATCGAAGGAAAATACTGCATGTATTTCTTGTTATACAAGATACTAACCATTGACTTCAGATCTAATGAAGTACTGCAAACAGAAAGGGATTCCTTTTGTGCCCTTCGATAATTGGGATTCCATTCTTGACGCAATGCAAGACATCTACGAAAGGACTGTCAAGAGTTAGATCCTCAGGCCTGCTTGGAAGATAGGGTGAACTTTCCAGCCAAAAATTCAGCTATCACTATATCACCATGTGGTACAGGCCAAGATTCTCATTACTCAGTAAAGGTCCTTGATCCAGCATTAGAAAATAGACTGCAAGTGTGTGCATTCACATTTTAGATATTAATGTCTTCGTTGTTCAATTATAGACTAGTCCAGGAACCTCTAATAATAGACTTGTTTCCACTGGAGAGTATCGTCGATGCCTAATACTCACGCTTATTATATTCATCATCTTCGCTGGGAGCTGGGGCGTCAGTAGAGGGATTCTAAACACTGGGCATGGTGTTATCTATTTCCACCTATTATTATGGTTCGTATATTAACATCCATTGAGTTTCTGGATCAAAACGAATGTCGCTTTCCGTCCGGATTTGGAATTGTGAACAGCGAGTCTTCCACTCCACCAACTGGTTAGCTCATGGCTAGCCGAAGCAGTGTCGATACCACGCCATAGACTACAGATTCAAGCCACGACTATGGCGGAGTACCCTAGCATCTTCTAGCCCAATCAAAACTCTAATAAGGTAGCACTCAAGCGATGACTGCCTGATCTACGCTGCCTTGGGGAGCGATGGATGGGTGAGAAGTGTGAGCTCATGAGGTAGTAGGTGTCATGACTTTCTTTCGACTTTAAGCACTAACACCCTTTATACAAGACTTTTTCCATCGGTGTCCGTTTCATCTCCGAGCGTCATGAACCAAATATTGACTCATCTTTGCTAGCTGCACTTCTCTTTTTGCTTGATGTAACGTGCCCGCTGATATGCAAGAAGTCGATTACGCCTACACCTCATAGTTTCAACAGCGGCATACTTTTCATCTCACTCTGTGCATGAGAGAATTTCGAGTGCGGGGTTGTTGGCTTTCTCTTTTTGCTGTTGCATCTATTAGATACCATGGAACTGGCGTTAGCATTTATGGGTTGTTGGAGGAAATCTGATGACCGTGATATAAAAATCTGTGATTGCTCATTAGGTTCTCTTCCTCTATATCACTCGCCATTTATCTAGGACTTACGCTACAGCCTGCTTGATCAGAATATATTGTCTGACAACATGACCTCTGAAAGATTCAATAAGCTCGATATTAATAAGGACAACATCCAAGGCAACATCTGGTGAGTCTGCGCCTGGCCGAGTTTTCCGGCCAGCCTACGATAGTAACATTTCTTAGGCCGGGTTTGCCGAAGCTTCATGAATTTTTTTTATTTTTCAATATTACCTCTGAGAGGAGGTTTTGTAGAGACCTGAAAACACTTATTCCTCTGATTACCACAGCGAATGACGCCGTTAAATGCCATGAGCAGATCAGACAGAACAAGACTGAGGTTTCCAGTGGAGAAGCAAAGTCAGAAGTGTTTCCACTCACCGGTGTGAACTTGGCCTTGAGCGCCAAAGGATTGAAAAAGGTAAGCCCCGCCGTCCCTTCTCCTGGTTTGAGGACCATATCTGATAACCGCTCCCTAGCTTTTCAAGGATGATAAGGACAATTTGAGATCTGGCAACTTCCTAGGAGGTATGCTTGCAGACTTGCAAGGTGGAGTTGCCGGTGGTGAAGGTCGGGACAATCCAGACGACTGGGAGGCAAAATTCAAGCCCGAAGTCGAAGGTCAGTATATTGATGGTGTGATGCTTGTCACCGGCCACTCTGAGCAGACCGCGCGAGCAAAGCTGCGCGAGGTGAAATATATCTTCGTTGGATATTTTGATTTCACTTCCAGCATCAAGGAGCTCTTCGTAGAGTATGGCCATGCGCGACCAGATCCCAACAGCGGCAGGGAACAGTGAGAAGTGGTAAATGTACTGAAAAGAAATGGCATCTGACCGTTATCAGCTTTGGTTACCGTGACCACATCTCCCAACCCCAGCTGGAGGGGCTCGACCCGGCTCCCAAGGGCAAATATGAGCCGCCACTTGTACCGCCAGGGTAAGCACGATTTCCTGAAAAACTACTTGCACGAACTAGTAGTAATATTATTTCCTTCTAGATATGTTATTACCAATGCCGACCAAGAGCCTGTTGGTCAGCCGGATTGGGCGACGGACGGTAGCTTCCTTGTCTTCCGCAAGTTGAAACAGCTGGTGCCTGAGTTCAACAAGTAAGGAAGTAGAAGTCTGAATTTTTCACCGCAACCTTCTGACAAGGGCTTAGATGGCTTGATGACACGGCTCCTAAGCATCATCTGACCAGTGATCAGCTTTCAGCACGCTTAATGGGCAGATGGAAGAGCGGTTTGTGCCTCAGCCTACTGTATATTCATGACGAAAACTTACAATATGACACAGGTGCCCCTATGTTTCTTACGCCATGGGAAGATGATCCCTCGCTCGCTGACTGCAATAACTTTGACTTTCAACCCGGCGATAATCAGGAAAAGTGTCCTTTCGCCGCGCATATCCGCAAGTGCAGACCCCGGGGAGATGTCAAGGATAGGAATACTAGTTCCATGATGCGTCGGGGCATACCCTATGGGGATGAAGTCACTAAAGAAGAGCACGATCAACAGACAACAAAGAAGGAGCGTGGAATGCTGTTTCTTTGCTACCAAAGCAGCATTGCGAATGGATTCAGGCGAGTTCAAGAGCGTAAGCAATCCCGCCACAGCATCAATACCCTGTACTGTATTGTCACTTTGATATTTAACAATTGTGAGCAGAATGGTGTAACAAGAACACCTTCCCCCCGCTGAAGAGAAGTATTACCGGCCCTCCAGGACCTGGTGCCGACCCCATCTGTGGCCAGCCTAACGGGCCTGACCCATTTGTTATGGGATTATGTGACGGCCAGAAAAACAATATCCACGTCGATTTGAAGTGCTGCGTGATCCCTAAGGGAGGAGAGTATTTCTTTTCTCCATCGATCAAAGCACTGACGAACCTTGCCAACCAGTCCGCCAAGTAATCAGTTTGATGATATGCATGTACTTGAGGTCGAAACTTGGCTCCTGGCATTCGTAACGGATTAGATACTCACACTGGCTTTAATAATCAATCAATTACCCCACCTGGGATATGACCAGCCGTCAGGTTGTAGGTCCACACCGTAACATTACTACTAATCTACCCTTGCATGTAGTTTCAGAGTCGCCCACTAGGGTGACTCCGCCAGTCCAAGGTAGGAGGCCACCTTAACGTAAGATTCTTGGGAAGGAGCATTCCAAACTTCATATATCTACCACGTACAGAAACATGTACAATATCTATAGATAAAAGACCTAGGATCTACCGTTAACTTCCTAGCTGGCCGATGAAGCTTGGGTACTTATGCCGCGGTCAATAGCATGGAATACCTTACGGAGCGTCGACCTCTCTTTGTATCATCATGATTCTTCTGAAGCTTCATCGGTGAGAGGACTGAGCTAGATGCAGTCCCTTCTGTCTGTACCCAATGTTTGGAGGTCTTGGATCGCCGTTCCCCGGGTCTTCTAAACTGATGACGAGTACATCGGCTGGACACCTTTTAGCCTAGTGATCTTTTATTCCAAAAGAAAGCTATCGACTTGAATCAAACACTAGGGTCGTTCCCCGATGTAATTTTGGAAAACAAACTTTAAGAACTGGGCGGTCTTCTGACTGCATTCATCCCTCATGGTGGGTCCGATATTGCATCTTCCTACCATAACTAAATCATCGGTATGATGTAACGGCAATGCTACTAGATCTAGATGTGTCCGGAATAGGACGTTGTCTGACATGAATCTAGTCGCAAGTGTCAAGTTAACGTAAACCTATGTAACAATTTCTGATAGTTCTTATCATTTCAATGTAATGATCATATAGTCATCTAGATATTGCTGGACCATGGAATACCAAAGGGCGTGAACTAGATTCCATAACAGTTTATGCCTTTATCGTGGAGCCCATGGTCGGCACTGTAAACCCGGCACTCCGGATCTTACACCTTGAATGCATCCTAATCATACATTCCTTACCAGGCCTTACGTTGCGTTGCAGCGTTGCCATGGTATCTACAAGCCATGAAGGAAGTCTGTCACCGCCATGGAGCCCTCCTAATCTTCGATGAGATTATGTGCGGGCTCGGCCGCACCGGCACGCAGCACGCTTGGCAGCACGATGGTGTTGTCCCCGACATTCAGACCGTGGGAAAGGTCCTCAGTGGAGGATACGCTCCGATCTCTGCGCTGTTGGTTCACGAGCGTGGTGTCGCTCTCACACAAACCTATCAGGCATAGCAGCTCACCTGCATTGCAGCGCTGGCCACCCAGCGCTATATTCAGGAAAATAACCCGGTTGAGAATGCTCGTTGCATGGGTGAGTACCTTGGGGAACAGCTCCAACTGCATCTTAGAGAGCACMCTCTCGTGGGAGACGTTCGAGGCCGAGGGCTGTTCTGGGCCGTGGAGATCGTGCAGGATAAAGCCACTAAGGCTCATTTCGATCCCAAGCTGAGCATTGCTAAGCGGATCTGGACTCAAGGGCTTGAACCTGGCTATGACCTTTGCATTTTCAGTGCTACCGGGGCTGCTGACGGTTGGAACGGCGACAAATTCCTTTTAGCGCCACCGTACATCGTTCAAAAGGAGGACGTCAATGAAATCGTGAAGCGTGTTGCCAAGGTGATGGACAGCGGGAGGAAGGACATCGAATCTGTGGTCAGGGCATAAGGAAAATGTAATTATTATCCGATTCTAATTTCTCAATATGAATTTAATCAGTCGGGAGCGAGTCAATGCCTAAAACACTGACCAATCTGTGATAGTTAATATTATGCACTATAGTAATTATTTCAATCGGCTATATCAATCTAACCTTTGTTCAGATAAACTAGTGAGGTGCCTGACTCTCTAACCATAATAAATTTAAAACTAGTTATAAAGTAAGATACTACTACCACATGACCATTCAGCGTAGCTTAGATACCGGCGTTCAACCCCTATGGTAACGTATGCCTTGGGTAGTTGTCAATGGCCAGCACAGTATACGACAATCATCACGATCCTTGAAAGCACACATGGGCTGAGTGTCGGGCCGAGTGGCACTGGCATTCGCTCTTTGCCCAAATCGTGTCTTTTGACAGTGCAAGTGAGCTAATCTCAGACCTGCATCTCAGCTATGCAAGGGACACAACACTTTAGTATTTTGTTTAACTTAGTAATGTGAATGTCCTATCTGCAGCAAAGCATAGCAAGAAAATATAAAGACCCCAAGGGGGCACAAGCAAGGACCATATGCAACCAGTCATGATATTCTGTAATTTCATCACTCTCTTTAAGCACTGCCATAGTCAACTGGAGAACTATACTCCGGATCATAGTGCATCTCCCAGTAAGCATCCCATATCTTCTTTGTGATAGGGCCAACCTGGCCGTCATTGACTGGTTGACCATCAAGCGACGTGATAGGCATAATGCCACCGGCAGTCGTCGACATGAAGATTTCATCGCAGTGATAAACCTCCTCCACTGGCACGACCTCAAGGCGGATGTCGATGTTGTTGGCTCTGGCAACGTCAATCACACTTTTACGTGTAATCCCTTGCAGGACACCTCGATCAGGAGTATAGAGGACTCCGTTCTTCACCAAAACAATGTTGAATCCGGATCCTTCAGTAAGGTTGGTGTCTCCATCGGTGAGGAAAGGGTACGTAGCGCCACGGTCCATCGCCTCAAAAAGCCCCTTTGTTAAGTCACCCCACTGTAGATTTTTGATCGTAGGATCAAATGCACCCGGCGGTGTTCGTCGCACAGTCCTTGTAATGATAGCACGGCCTCCAAGGCGCTGTTTTTCAGGCTCCATCACCCAAATGTATGGGAGAACAAGCAAGTATATATTGTTATTAAACAGATCCTCGGGCTTCGAGCCACGCACACCTGTGAGACCACGTGTCACAATAACTTCCACAAACGCATCCCGGATACCGCTCTTGGCCACCATTTCAGCCAGAATATTTTTTACCTTACTCGGTGCAAGTGGGAATTTGAGTCGCATTTTATCGCAGCTTTCCAGGATTCGTTGCATATGATCATCCAATCGAAAGAAGCGTCCATCCCAGACCGTTGTAACATCATAAGTTAGATCACTGTGCATAAACCCTTCGTCGAGCAGCGGTATTCTGGCGTCGCTGGGTGAGACAAACTTTCCTTCCACATAGGCAATGCCCTTAGAGAAAGGATTGTTGCTCCGTTCAAGAAGCTTCTTGCGCGCATGATATTCCGAAAACACTTTGTCCATAGACGCCATGATGAGTGCGGTTTCAGTGTATTTCCGTGTAAGAAATCGTATCAAGATTAGATCTACCTGCTGCAAGTGAAGAATTGAGCGGACTGGTGTAAATACTCATTTATATGAGTGAGCGGAGTGGGAGTTTGCCCCACGCTTATTTCTGAGTGAGCTGCTCCCGGACAATGACGTAGGCAAAAGTCGGGATTCCGTGGTTGTTGGATCCATATGGCAAATACCGAAATGGCAACTGGATACACTGTGCGGGTTTTCTGGGGTAGGCATCTTATTCGTTGATAGCTTATTGGCTTGATTGTCTTCGCATTATTGAAGCAAACTCTACTTCAGTAGTTTGATGGTCCACAACCGGATATTTCTGACAAGCACATTACTACATTAAATCGTCATTACCAAAGTCGAGAAGGAAACAGAGATGTAGTGAGGAAGGCTGCATCATATCTGACATGATCCTCTCACTGCTATCTAGGGCACTGACTTTACAATTTATCGTTGTTCGGTACGGCCTCTTCGGCGGACAAAGGATCAAGCTTACTATTATTAGACTGGCTATCAGGGATATATCCTTCATTTTTCGCTAGCTCAGCGGGTGGGAGGCTGGCCCTCAACGCCATTGCAGCATGCGTTTTCGTAGATTTCCTGCACGGTGACAAAGATGGAGGCTCAGTCATTAAATGGCACAAATGGAATCCCACGTTGCTACAGTACCGTATGAGGCCTTGTGCAGCTGTCAGTAGTGATGTCATTTGGCTTATGAAGGAATTCGTATATGGCATGCAAGTATCGGAGAGGCGGCTTACCCAACCCGCTCTTCGCACAGAGGATGTCTGTTTCCGATGCGGCGGACAGATGGGACACACCGTCTCCAGCATACAGCAATATCGGGCGTGATTTGCCACTGAGGGCAGTGTATGGTTTGATTCCGAGTGATTTGTCATGGCTGAATGTGCTATGTGGTCCAGGTCTTCAGTGACAAGTGCACGCTTTGCCCCGTAAGGGGGTTTCCTTACCTGTTTCCAAACGGCGACTTCCCTCTACTTTTTGCTCAAGCCGGTAAATTTCATTCATTGCCCTTTAAAGGATGAGAGTAAACTCATTGAAATCTCGCAAGCGAATTATCTGCATGATCTGTGCTGTTGTGTCTGTGAGTGACAAGGCAAAACGGAGTGAACTCCACAAGTGTGGTACCATGAGCCAAGAACTGTCTTGATCAATGTTGGCGCCTGCCGGGGGGCCCTAAGGCCGGAGTCTGATAAAAATGTTGAACGATGACCGTATCCGCTAGAGTCGCGGGCGCATAGATACACTTGACCTGGATACTCCCGAAGCACCAGTCCAAAACAATTTCTGCTTGGTACGTTTACAGAGGACGCTGGGTGGTGTATCCTTGATCAGGCCTATTGCCATGGCCTGTAGAGCGCTGATGAGCTGAGAAGAATAATAAGCAGAGTTATTTATGTTGCACGACAGTTATTTATGTTGCACGACTCAATTCCAGCATAGCCTGCAGCAAGCACCTCAATTCTAGGATGGCAGGATAGGATCGGGAAAGTGACTGTGGACAGTTTGCTAGACGTCAGGCGCTGCGGTTAGGCGATTGGCTGGGTTGCATGAACCTTCCAGACTGGAATTTCCAGCCACCCAAGGATCGCTGTACAGGACCATACGTACGTCCGTATGTCATTATTGCAGATTAGAGTTTTCCATAATGTAATTAAATTACAAGGAAGATAGATATTCCGTAGGTTTGCTAGTTACAGTTTAGCTCCATTTCAAATAAGGTTTTGGGTTAGAAATCAGAAGTATAAAAATTTGCACTGGTTTGATCATCCAGCTGTAACACATCATCCAGCTGTATTCGTCGAGACGAAGCAATAAGATCCAGCTGTATCTGTCCCAGGGATGGGATTTGGTCAACAACGGCGATATAAAGACTCAGGCAACCTATTAGTGTCCATTGGGCGAAGATTCCTCTGGGCGGCGCTTGCGGGACGGCCCGAAATACAAGCCCTGAATCCCCTGACTGCGATAAACACAAAAACTCACCACCACAGATAAGATCAAATTGCATCACCAGACCACTAAATAAATATACTCAGGACTAGAGTTGCATTTGGCGTGAATTTAGGCAAGTTCAACCCTACATGATAGCTCCACCAGTCCCCACAGGTAGACCTAGGCAGGTGTTCCGGGTAACCCAACTGAAACATGTGTTAAACCCAACTTGGGCTGGGTTTTGGGCTCAAGGGGGGTGTTCTGGGTTGGGTTCTGGGCTTTTATATAGAACCCAACTAGGTTTTGGGTAACCTAGTTAGGTAGATAAACTAGATAAATATTAAAGATCATGTGATATGCATTAATTATATATTCCTATCTTATATTTATAGGTATTTAAACTATATATCTAAGTAGGAGAGTAACTATTCTAATTACCCTTCTATTTCTTCTCTAACTATTATAGGCTAGAATTCTAGTATAGGGCTATACTCTAACTATCCTAATAGGCTATAAAGGAATAAAGTAGAATTACTAAAGAAGGAAGAAGCTAGGTATAGGTGGCTAGTATTATATATAGTAGGCAAGGCCTACTAAATGCTTAAGCTTACTAAGTACTTATAATCTATCTTAGGTACTAATAAAGTCCTGTCTAAGGTGAACACTAGCTTAAGGTTCTATCTAAGGTAGATACTAGCTCAAGGTCCTGTCTAAGGTAGACACCAGCTTAATTATATAATAAAGTACTAATTAATATACTAATTAACTCTTACTATATAACCACAGCTGTATATATAATATAGTATATATTATAAGTTAGCTTATAATAATAATAACTAATAATAAAGGAACTAATTATCCTTATATCTTATATACTTCTAATTTTGTCTAGAGATATACTATTATATATTAGGTAAAGGAAGAACCACTTCATTATCTAATAGAAATGGTTCCTGACCCTCTAGCTCCCTATTAGATACTATACTTCTTTATCTCTTACCCTATATATGCTTAGATAGCTACTAGGTAGCTAGCTGGTCTATATTAATCCCTAGGCTATTATCTTCTTTATTATTACTAATTAGCTTAAGGGTATCTTAAAGTTATTAAGTATCTTTCTCTTTATTAAGGGCTTACTATTCCTTATTTAAAAGATATTATTTTATAAGAGAAAGCTCCTTCTCTTCTATTTTAAACCTTAATATATACATGAATAGCATTAGATCTTAGATTATTATAGAATTAAGTAAGCCTTAATAATAATAATAGATATCTTAAGCAGAATTAAAAAGCTACTTAATACTAGCACTAGTAGTAGGTATTAAGAGTATATTATAAGCTATTTTTGCAAGAGCTGGAAATTTATATTTATACTCTTTCTAGAATATCTATAGAGTAATTAGGGCTATCTCTATTAGATAATATTAATTAG